TTTTCTTATTATTTTGCTAACTCTACCTGTTGCTGTAGCATTATAAACAGTATTGTTACTCTTGCTACCGTCGGGATAAATTTGGCCTCTTCCCCTGTTTCCACCCACATATATAGGATATTTTAAGAAATGAGCATCTTTATTAGTAGCAGGATCGGGAGATAGAATGGGAAAGGTTATTTTACTATATTTCTGACCAGGAACAGGGCCCACCACAACAATATTTTTTTTCGAGGGTCTATAGCTCTGAAAAGACAAATTGCCTATTTTTTTCTTTCATCTCGGGAGAAAGCCGATCTGTAGGGGCTAATTCAAAACCATCCGGTAAAATAAGAACAGCCCCCACATTCAACCCCCCTTTTTTACCATTGGAAAGAACTTGTTTAAGTTGCATATCATAAGGAATTTGCACTACTGCTTCAAATACAGTATCTGGAAGTACCGCTTGCGGTACCTCAACCTCCACGGGCTTATTAGCTAAATGGCAATTGGCACATACAATACGGCCAGTTACTTCTCGTGGATTTTCATAACTCTGCTGTGCAAAAATAGGATATGCATTTGAAATGGATGTCAGAGTTATGATATATAACATGATCAATGCGAAATCAATCGAGTAATCTGTTTATTTATCCAAAGAAAATGATTTCGAGTTTGCATAGTCGAATCGTTGATTGCAAAATTGATACAATAAAATGGGGTAGGTCACTAGTATAGTTTGCTACCCAGGATTCTGCTATTTGATGGAATAAAATATAAAAAAAAATAGTTCTATAAAATAAGTAATGAAGTAATATTTTTAATGCTTCGCTTATTTACAATAGAAAAACAGAAAAAAATTAATCTTCAAATTGAATTATGAATCCCATAGAGTCCTTCAATCATTCATTCAATGAATGATAAAGAACTACAAGTGACGGAGAAACACGATTTAAATAACGGAAAACCCAATATTTAAAAATTGTATCTAGAATGACTGGAAAGGTGCAAACAAGACCAGAGATAATTAAATCATTATCACAAAATCCCAAATCTTTAGAAATAAAGGTAATTATAAATTCCCAACCGCGGGGTGAATGGAATCCGATACATAAATCAGTTAATAAGAGAATGCAAAATACTTTGATTGTGTCGCTTAAGTTATATAAGAATTCCCGAGCCCAAGAGTTCAGAAGACTTAGGTTTTCATTACGCAAAATAGCAGAAACACTTAGAATAAAAAAACAGATTAGATTTGTCGCTAAACGAAAAATAAGATGGATATCACTATATTTTTGTATCTTTATTAATTGAATTGCTTGTTTATGGATTCCTATAATAAATTCTTGTGGGTGTGTCTCCACGTCTTTTTTAACTATTTCGTCCAATAATAGAAATTCCTCGAATTCAATAAATTTTTCCAGAAGACTCTTTTCATTAATATTATTGAAGAAACTTTCGGATTGCCTAGTAGTCCACCAATTAGTAATCCAAGATCCCAGACATTTATTCAATAAGAAATAAATCCACCAGGGCAAAAAGACTACAAATGCAAGATATAAAAGAGGAGTGAATACTTTATTTTTATTTTTCATGAACCCACCATATATGAGTTTTTACTTTTACAAGGTATAAGGTATATTAAAGTATGTATTGATTTTTGTTGTGATTTTTTGGCCAGTCTTTGAATCTAGAAAGAATACAGATGAAATTCAGATATCCGATACAAATCTTTCAATTAAAATAAAAAGAAAAAAATTACTGAATGTTTAGATATTTAAATATTTAGAATGAAATAGTAAGCAATAGAATACTTAAACTTCCTAGGGGATTTGCTTGTGCTAATAAAAAACTGCCTGGTCAATTGGCTAATTAGTATTCCTGAGTCTTAGTAAAAAAATGCAATTGGAAAAATAAATAGAAAATATATAAAAATAGAAAAAAAGTAACTGAAAAGAGGTGTAGCCCCCTTCTCAAAATACTTCAATCGGTACACGCAAAAAATAGGCCAATTCTGAAGCTTTTTTTTCAATTTCTCCCGGGGTGAAATTCTCATTAGTACGAGTCAAAGGAATAGCCCTCTGGCCTCGGATGTCCATATAAAGGACACGACGAGCATAAATACCTTCTTTCACTTCTATTCGAATAGACCTTATATCTTTTATATTGAATCGGAGGGAAAATGCGCCGATTTATTCCAGGGAATCCCCAACGAAAAATACAAAAAATTCCCTTTTTCTATCGAATTGATCATAACCACTACCAACATTCCATAAAATAGTACACCACAAATACGAGCTAATAAAAAGACCCGCAATTCCGTAGAATGACATGACTATTCCTTGTGGGAAAAAAAGAATTTGCTGGGCTGAAAAAAAGGATATCCAATTTATACCAAGATAACTGGAAGTTCCTACTAATAAGAATCCCAATGAACCTAAAAAAAGAGTAAAAGCCCACCTAAATTACTTATTTTTCTAGACCCAGGTCTAAGTTCGATCCATATATGTTTTGATTGCCAACTCATATTACATCCGATTTTATTTTATTTTATTGGAATTAAGAAAAAAAACCATTAATTAGGAACTTTGCTATTTCAAAAGTAATTCTCATCAAACGAATATTTGTTTGATGAGAATCTAGCACTAGTTTGATGTAAACCTTTAGGGGTAATTCATAAACTTGGTTAGATAGAAAAAAATAACGCCTTAAGTCAATATGATTCCACAGATCTTCCTGTTATGATACAAAAAAAAGCAACTTACAAAAAAGGGAGGATCTCAATATATAAAATATCTAAAAATTTTTATTTTTCTTGAACAGTAATAAATAAATAAAACGTTGCAATTGCCGGCAATACTAAGCCTACTAATGGTATAAAAAGAGACGGAAAGTCACTCATAGAAAAGGTATTTTTTTTACTATATTTATTTGTATCTGTGAGTTTTTATCTAACTATTTATATCAATCTAAAATCAATATAATTATTTTCTTTCACTCAAAGTTCAAATGAATTTGAACTTTGAATGAAAGAAAGTGCCCCGGTCATGAAACGTAAATAACTCACTAATAACGCTTTTTAGAAGATGACGTGGTACAATTAAGTCAAATGAACCCTTCTCAAATAAAAATTCAGCTTCTTGTGCCTCGTCAGGTATGGTTTGATTTAATGTTTGTTCAATTACTCTTTTGCCTGCAAATGCAATGTAAGCATTAGGTTCAACAATGATAATATCCCCTAACATACCGAAACTCGCTGTTACTCCACCAGCTGTAGGAGATGTAAGGATTGATATATAAAATAATCTTTTCTTCGATTGATAATTGTATAAAGCAGATGATATTTTAGCCATTTGCATCAAACTTAAACTTCCTTCTTGCATTCGCGCACCCCCGGACGCCGACACTATAATCAGAGGCAAAAAATTTTCTGTAGCGTACTCAATTAAACGGGTTATTTTCTCTCCGACTACGGATCCCATACTACCCCCCATAAACTTAAAATCCATAACCCCTATTGCTACAGTAATACCGTTGACTTGGCCTAGACCTGTTTGAACAGCTTCGGTTAAGCCTGTTTCTATTTGATAAAAATCAAGATCCTCTTCATAAGAGTTTTCATAATTAGAAAATACTTGATAAAAGTATTTAGAAGGGTCTTTATAAGGGTATTCCGACGATTCTTCAGAAGAGTCTTCTGAAAAGTCTTCATAAGGGTATTCCAACGATTCTTCAGAAGAGTCTTCTGAAAAGTCTTCATAAGGGTATTCCGATGATTCTTCAGAAGAGTCTTCATCAAATTGAATGGGGTCCCGAGAAAGAATGTCTTCATCGAAAGGAGCCCACGTTTTCTCATCGATCAAAAAATCAATTCTATCTGAACTACTCAGTTGCAAATAATCTCCACATTCTTCACAAATATACTGTTTTAATTTAATAAGTTTTTTATAATATAATGTATCACAATTTTCGCATAGAAGCCACAAATGGTTAAATTTAGGATATTCTCTCCCAATGTGAGTTTGTCTACTTGAACTCTCGACTTCGCTCCTATTGCAGCTTTCACCATCAACAACGGACTCATTACTGAAACTGTCAGTACTATCATTTTCATTAGTAGTGATAGTAGTTCGCTCTATTTGCAACTTAATAGAATTTTCAACGGACTGAGCAATCTCAATCTGAGAGTTAGATTCGTTACTCACTTCATTCATTTGAGTGAGATTGCTTGAATTCGAAGAAAGATAAAAAGGTTCACTAAAGAAAGAGTGAGGATTTTTTGTTTCAAAAATATAATTTTCAATATTAAAATAGATGCAATAATTATTTCCAGTACTATCGCTAACTAGAAAAGTGTCATCTTTGATGACACTTTCACTATAGTTTAACTCGAAGACAGAATCAACATTACTGCAACCGTAATTGTCACGATCCTCCCAAGTCTGAATGTTTTCAAACATATCTTGCTTCTTCGTATCTTCATTTTGCCTGCTATTTTCTTCAATAGGACGGCTAACACCATCCATTGATTGAGTTAGCCCCCATCCACGTTCAAATTTCTTATCCAATGAATTATCCCCCCACATTTCCATAATTTTTGCCCCTTGTTTTTTGCATGAAAATACAATGCATGAAAATACAATAGAAAATAAAATAGCAATACATGGAATAGTCGTTTGATATAAAATATTCCTAAACTCAAAATAAAAAAACACAAGTTCTTTTTGAACAACTATCAGAATAAAAAGAGAAACCCAAGCATTAAGGCTATTGCCTAAAATAATGGGTATGAGTATCCAAAAATGGAATTGCCTTTTATATAACTCTACCCCAATTACCAAATTTAACTATTTGTTCTTGCCTACCTATACCCAAATATAAATAAGAAGTTCATTAATATGTATAGATATCCGGCTCAATCTGTTTACTTTTTTTAGTATTTGAGTGATTTTAGTAAAAGATTGGGCCGAATTTAATTGCAATTCAGAAGAGAAGGGGGTTAGTAATTGCTTGAATTCCCTCTACCCATTCCCGAATAAGTTATCTGTATTTATCTCCTGCAGGAGCCTCCTTAGTATATCTTTCTTTCTTCTCATTTGGATCTAAGGTATCCACTGGTTTAAAGTCAAATTGAATCTCCTTCCATACCTCACAAGCAGCAGCTAGTTCAGGGCTCCATTTACTAGCCTGTCGAAGAATTTCATTGCCTTCCTGAGCAAGATCATGTCCTTCGTTACGAGCTTGTACACATGCTTCGAGAGCGACTCGATTCGCTACGGCACCAGGCGCATTACCCCAAGGGTGACCTAAAGTTCCTCCCCCAAACTGTAGTACGGAATCATCCCCAAATATCTCGGTTAGAGCAGGCATATGCCAAACGTGAATACCCCCAGAAGCCACAGGCATAACACCGGGTAAAGAAACCCAATCTTGAGTGAAATAAATACCACGACTTCGGTCTTGTTCAACAAAATCATCGCGTAATAAGTCAACAAAGCCCAAAGTCATCTCTCTTTCCCCTTCTAGTTTACCTACTACAGTACCCGCGTGAATATGATCTCCACCGGATAGCCGTAACGCTTTCGCTAGTACGCGGAAGTGTATACCATGAGTTTTTTGTCTATCAATAACTGCATGCATTGCACGGTGGATGTGAAGAAGGAGACCATTATCACGGCAATAATGAGCCAAAGAAGTATTTGCAGTGAATCCCCCTGTTAAGTAGTCATGCATTATAATAGGAACTCCCAATTCTTTAGCAAAGAAAGCTCTTTTTAGCATTTCTTCGCATGTACCTGCAGTAGCATTCAAGTAATGTCCTTTTATTTCACCTGTCTCAGCCTGGGATTTATAAATTGCTTCGGCACAAAATAAGAAACGGTCTCTCCAACGCATAAAGGGTTGTGAGTTTACATTCTCATCATCTTTGGTAAAATCAAGTCCACCACGAAGACATTCATAAACCGCTCGACCGTAGTTTTTAGCGGATAACCCCAATTTGGGTTTAATAGTACATCCCAGGAGAGGACGCCCATACTTGTTCAATTTATCTCTCTCAACTTGGATGCCGTGAGGCGGACCTTGAAAAGTTTTAGTATAAGCTGGAGGTATTCGAAGATCTTCGAGACGTAAAGCGCGGAGTGCTTTAAAACCAAATACATTACCTACAATCGAAGTAAACATGTTCGTAACAGAACCTTCTTCAAAAAGGTCTAAAGGGTAAGCTACATAAGCAATATATTGATCTTTTTCTCCAATAACACGCTCAATGCGATAGCATCGGCCCTTGTACCGATCAAGGCTGGTAAGTCCATCGGTCCACACGGTTGTCCATGTTCCAGTAGAAGATTCCGCAGCTACCGCGGCCCCCGCTTCTTCAGGGGGAACTCCAGGCTGAGGAGTGACTCGAAATGCTGCCAAGATATCAGTATCTTTGGTTTCGTAATGAGGAGTATAATAAGTCAATTTGTAATCTTTAACACCCGCTTTGAATCCAACACGTGCTTTAGTCTCTGTTTGTGGTGACATATATTCCTCCTTATAACTCATAAATTAATAATTCTGACAACAAAATGATCTACTCGACCTAAATTCTGCGTTAATTTTGCTTTTGGTCGGAATCGTTCACAAAATTCCTCCCGAGTACTCAATATTATCTATTATCAACTAAATCATAATTTTTTATTTTTAAACTCAAAGCATTTGAGTAATTTTTCAAATGCATCAATATTTTATACTCTTTTGTATATCTAGTGCAACCCAGTTTTTCAATTTCACTTTTTTTACACTACCTCTCTAACCTAATAAAAAAATCAAAAAAACTAATGGGATAGAAATAACAAATTCTAATGAAATACTTTTGAAATACTTTCCCAATATTTTTATTCCTCCACTTTAAAATAATTTAACTATTTCAGTTCCTTAATTCAACAAAAATTAAATTTATTAAATTTTAATTTATTGGATACTGGATAATATAAAAAAATACCAAGAAAATCCCCCCTTTTTTCTTATTACATTTATTGAATTAATCTTCCGCTTGCGGGCAGTGATTTGTAATTTGAAAAGTTTTTTAAATTTTTTTTTTATGGGAAGCACTCCTACGACTTCTGGTTCTGAGGTTTCCTCAATTGAAAAAAAAAATATAGGGCATATCGTCCAAATAATTGGTCCGGTACTAGATGTAGCTTTTCGCCCTGGTAAGATGCCTTATATTTATAATGCTCTAGTAGTTCAAGGGCGAGACAGTAAACAAACGAACGTGACTTGTGAGGTTCAACAATTATTGGGAAATAATAGAGTTCGAGCTGTAGCTATGAGTGATACAGATGGTCTAATGAGAGGGATGGAAGTGATTGATACGGGAGCTCCTATAAGTGTCCCGGTCGGTGGATCAACTCTGGGACGAATTTTCAACGTGCTCGGACACCCTGTTGATAATTTAGGGCCTGTCAATACTAATAAAAAATCTCCTATTCATAGATCTGCGCCCGCCTTTATAGAGTTAGATACAAAATTATCTATTTTTGAAACAGGAATTAAAGTAGTAGATCTTTTAGCCCCCTATCGCTGTGGAGGAAAAATAGGACTCTTCGGGGGAGCTGGAGTGGGTAAAACAGTACTCATTATGGAATTAATTAACAATATTGCCAAAGCGCACGGAGGAGTATCCGTATTTGGCGGAGTGGGTGAACGTACTCGCGAAGGAAATGATCTTTACGTGGAAATGAAAGAATCCGGAGTAATTAATGACCAAAATATTGCAGAATCCAAAGTGGCCCTAGTTTACGGTCAGATGAATGAACCACCAGGAGCTCGTATGAGAGTTGGTTTGACTGCCCTAACTATGGCGGAATATTTCCGAGATGTTAATGGGCAAGATGTACTTCTATTTATTGACAATATATTTCGTTTCGTCCAAGCGGGATCAGAAGTATCCGCCTTACTGGGCAGAATGCCTTCTGCTGTAGGTTATCAACCGACCTTGAGTAC